ATGGCTGGGAATGGCTAGGAATGGCTAGGAATGTCTAGGAATGGCTGGGAATGGCTGGGAATGGCTAGGAATGGCTGGGAATGGCTGGGAATGGCAAGGAATGCCAGGGAATGCCCGAATGAGTTTTTTCCCCCTTGGCTATTACACTTAAAAAACAAAATCAATCAGCGACAAATTCAGGTATTTCTGTCAAAGAGAAAACTCCAGTTTTAAACTTATCGAAAACAGTAAATTTTATTGCATTGAAGTCGTATGTGAAAATGAATAGGTTATTGAAAATAATGCAATTGAAGAAGTGCAGGCATGAGAGGCTATGAAAATTTTATAATTGATCCTATCAACAAATCTGTATATGTGCTGACTAAACGATGCCTTTAGATACCCGACATAGCCGATAGTTAGAATAAAGTCGATAGTAGTATCTAGTATCATTTGGTTTGGTTTTAATTCTTATCTGCTCTGGAAAACTATTTTAGGCATGTTTTACAATAGCACTGATCGTAACTGCTGCCTTTCGGTAGTATTTTTACTTGGCTATAGTGATAAATTCTGAGTAGAAGGTGTGGGTATTTCATCATGGTATTATCGCTTGGTCTGATAATTATATGACAGATTAGGGTTTAATTACTCGCCTTATTCTCCACGTTTCAGCTCTATTTACAGCAAACCTCTTAAGGAAATCACAAGTGTGTGTCATGTGGGCATGTACCAATGAAACGAAAATTGTATATTTTTCTTTGTGTCATATTACATTTCATTTGAAATTAGAATTGATATTTAGTAAAATATCATATTAGACTAGATAAACAGGCGTGCTTAGTGATCTTCAAATATCACATGACTAGTTATAGAACAATATATAAACCACTTGTGTCGCTACAGATATGATCTCTAATTGTTCCTCCTTGTTTTCTCTCTATACTGTTCTTTCCTGTTTTCATCCGTCTTTCTCTTCTCTCCCATATTAGCATGCACTATACGTGAAATAGACATATTCTGGACGTATGAAGTAGCTAAATAAATATCATTACCCAGGAGGACTGTAAGCTACTCCTTGGATATGAGAGTGTGGGTGTGTGCACGTGGATTATTTTAAATCACGTACGAACACCTGATAGCCATAGCCATACACCATACACCCTCATTGATTCTAGACCAATAACCATATGATAAGTACTTCAATCGATTCATAACGCAAGTTTTCATCTCTAGAGTAGGGACGATCGAGCTTGTTCATACCAATTATTCAACACTGTTTCTAGTGATTTCTGAAAATAGAGTACATGCCAAAACATTCAAAAGTGAAGATATGGAATTCGGTCTTTTATGGGGTTATTCTTTATAAGATAACGTTTCTTTCATTACTACAGTTCAGCGTTAGTTGTTTGAGTTATTCATTGTCTTATAATCAATATTCATCAAAAATTATCCTGGTAACAAAGGAATATGTGTATATGTGCGTATATACCACAGGAAGAAACAACCATCAGCGAGAAATCGTTTTGAATTGTACGCTAAAATTACTAAATACTTTTTATTTAAAAAGGAGCATGAAGTTTTACTATAATTGACTGTGAGCGTAATTGTAGAATGTGAATATTGATATGATTTTCTATGAACGTTTTAAATGTGAGAGTGAATGAAGCGATCACTAAGACTCACTCAACCAAATCGACACCAGTGAGTAAATTTTAAGTATTATAAACTTTGAGCAGTTTGTTCAGATACGCAAGAAGTAATTAACTTAATTGGAATGCATATAGAACCAAATAATGTGGCAATCGATTTCAATGCAATGTCTGAGCCTAAACTTTCGAATTCATCCCCAGATAAATCAGTATAATGAACGTACAACATGAAGAATAGTAGTAATTATTCTTTAACATATTTTTATTATCTTGCATAGATTCTCTCCCATCAAAACATCTGTCGAAAGAACAATACTCAACTCGAACTGCACAAGCAGATCAGGCAAGTTTTTATTGGCTGTAAGCAGTACAAAAGTTTAAATTAACACTAGACAATGATTACCATTTTAAGAAAACATTTTAGCGCTATCCCTAAGGAATTAAAAGTGTGAAACACTATGTAAATATTGTTTCGAATTATCTAAAAACTGGTCTTCTTTGTGCATATTGAGGTATAGTTCTATATGCTGGCTTACTTTACGGTCTGGAACATTAACACGTCAATAATTCATATATATATTTCCATCATAAATCGTGACAGACGACATTCATAACCATCAAAAACCATAGCAGGCGGACCCGGAGGGTGTCTGTCACGGACTTTGATGGGAAATTAATTAGTTAGATATTGATTAATTAATTAATTAAAACATCTTTCATTTTCTGTAGGATGTGAGTGTGGATAGTGGTTCGTCTTATTGTCTTTACACCCACAACCACCCTACGATAATTGTTTAGTAGCTTATCTTATGTAGTTATCAACGCTGGATAATAAATCGAAATCTAACTCTTTGTTGGGAAAAGATTCAGACCTGATATATCTATGAATATATTGAAAAGTCAAGAAAATATGATTACTTACAAGATAGAGTCATCATCTTGCGAAAACTAGAGGAAACCAACGTGCCGACTGGATTTCAATAATTTTACACTCAGTCGATTGCCCTTTCTTTGCTCTATCGAAATTCATCAAAATATTCTGACCTGGTTAGAATTGTCAGAGAAATACGACTTACACAAAAGGAATGTGCGAAAAATTAGGAAACTTTACTAAAGAGAGAGTGACGAAACGCTAGCTTGCTAAATTTTTCAAAAACCATAAAAAGGTTTTTCCTTTTGAGAGAGTAGATTTAATATGCACTTCATAGCTTTTCATCTGCCATATAAAAAGGGTTAAAACTCCAAATCTATAGGTTTCTTACTATACGCTTTCATTTTCACACATAAAAACTTGGGATCAAACTTTATCAGAGTACGGTAATATTTCACTTTGTTACCAACCATCTCTGAAATTTCGAGCTCTAGAGTATGTAACCAGTCGAGCAAAATTTTGCGACTTTGGCTGGCCAACTGTTGTGAAAGTCTGTCGTGAGTCATGTGGACTTGGCGAGATCACGCAGATGAATTTTTCAGGGAACACGTGTAAACGGTCGTTTGTGAAGCAATGCGTAATACACGGATGAATCATGTTAATATGTCTAAGATAATTTTTAGAATGCATCCCAACTAGAAGCAGCTAAAGTTGCAGAACAGGCGGAGCGCTATAATGATATGGCTGAGGCGATGAAGAAAGTAGTTGAATCCGGAGTGGTTTTAACAAACGAAGAACGAAATCTGTTATCTGTGGCTTACAAAAATGTCATGGGAGCATGTCGAACGTCGTGGATAAAGATTTCAAGCGTAGAAGCGAAAAACGAAGCTGTCAAACAACAACAGAAAAGAATTGTAAAAGAGATCAGAGACATCTGCAATGAAGTTCTCACACTGCTTCACAAGTTTCTCATACCGAAGGAAACAAATGTCGAATCAAAAGTGTTCTACTTGAAGATGGAAGGTGATTACTATCGCTATTTTTCAGAAGTAACAACTGGAGATGAAACTCTGAAAATGATTAAAGAGGCACAGCGGGCCTATGATGAAGCTATAAACTTATCCAATGCAAACTTGTTACCGACACATCCTATCCGACTGGGTCTTGCTCTCAATTACAGCGTTTTCCTGTATGAGATCATAAATAACCCAGGGTCTGCTTGTCGTTTTGCTAAGCAGGCATTCGATGATGCTATAGAGGATTTGGACTCTCTTACCGAAGACTCGTACAAAGACACTACACTGATCATGCAATTGCTTCGAGATAATCTCGTATTATGGACAACCGACATGGAAGAATAAGACAGACTGTAGAACAAACACAAAGACCACTTCCGTCTCGTAGTTACATGTTTTAATAAGACTAATAATTCACTGGAAACTCCTCAACTTTTTATTAAGTCTTTTCGATCTTTACACAGGACAAATATGTCTTGAAGAGAACAACATTTAGAATGATCAAATGAAAAACTATCCGAAAAGCTCTCCACTCAAATCAGTCCATAAACAGGTCGACTTATGTTTATATGATACAAATCAATCTTATAATCGCAACTTTCGCTTTTGAGCAATCGAACTAGTCGAAAATGAAGGAATTAAAATAATTAAAGAAAGACACAGTTACTATCGTATAGGTATATCGTGTTGAGAGGCTGCCTAATTCGAGTTCGAACATGAGTGAAATTTTCGAGAAACAGCATCAGCAACATGTTGGCAGAAAAATAAAAATGGTTTACTTCAAAATTGAGATAGGGCTGTTGTAGAACTGCACCCGGATGATTTCCCTAAAGTTCCTTCAGCTCTTCCCTCGCCGAGGTATATCTCTTTAGAACCTTTCAGGCACCCTCAAGATTTATAAAATAATTTATCTAAACTGATCTTTTGTATTTGTATGCTGCTTCGGTAGGGTAAGGTATTCAATTCATCACGGGAAGTGTAACTTTTCTCGAAGGAACAAGAAAAACAAAAGATAACTTTAGTAAAGTTTATAAGTTTCTATATAGTTTCAACTTTTCGTTTCTTTTTTTTGAATGCAAAGACATGCATCCGATTTCGTATAAAATTTTCTTTTTTTGCTGCTGATGATACCAACAGGGATGCTCGCTTTTTTATTTATAATTATTTTCGAATTCATAGAAGTCATCTAGCTCTACATTTAAATTCAAACTTGAATTAAACAACTCATGTTCATATATTATTCATTTATCTATAAATAGTTATCAATGCTCTAACTTAGAAAAATATACAAAAAGAGAAACCCATTCAAGTGAAACGCAGAAGTGATATTAGAAGGCAGAGTATGTGGGGTGTGAGTGTGAGATTTTAAAGACATATTATTCTACATGCATACCCACCCCATGTCGCACAAACCGATCGAGAAAAATCGGTTAACCGCAGTTACGCAAGCTATTTTAGCGACTTTGCAGTGTAAAAACCGACGGTTAACCGGTGGTTTTCGATCGGTTTGTGCGACATGGGACATGTTTACTTCAACCTTCGTACACCGATTTCAGTCGATTCTATATTCAGTTATATAAAAAAGAGAATACCACAGATCTTATATCTCCAAGAATTATGAATAGCAGCTGACGACAATAAAATCTCAAGGAGAACGACAGTTCACCCGATGATAATGATCAATCAAAATCATTCGTAATCCTAACAATTAGAAAACCAGTTTCCCCATTAGAGACATGATTGTCATTGTCTCTAATTATGAAAAGTGAAACTAGTATCAGAAACAAACTAAATTCGTTATCTAATTGTGATAGGGTCTAAAACCATCAGCATGCTACCTCTTGAAAAACTTTTGTTTTCAAAAATGCAAAATTTTGATGCATAGCACAATGGTTTCGATCCAAGTCAAACGTCAGTTATACGCCTATTCATATTGGGCATCGAATATCTTCATCAGATCAAAAGAATTCACCTACATTTATCTGAAAAACAAATTATCGAGTTATTCATTATATTTACAACAAACTTGAGAATGACATCTAAAGTTTTTAGAGCATCTCCGATTTGAAATATTTGGCATCACAAATAGATGCACAATTAGCTTCTTGTACTTAATGCTTCGTCTTTTTCATGATAATGACATGATACGGTATTCATACAAGATAATTACGCAACAGAAATAATTAATAAGCATATGAAAGCATTGAAATAAAGCTTAAACTAGATCAATTCTTATGAAGAATGCCTCTTTGGCGTTGTCTTCATCCACACGCACACACAAATCGACGGGATGTCGCTGGTCGGCACATATGGCTTCAGAAAAACAAGTAATATGAGAACAATTGAATGCCATTGCGATTGGTTGTTGAGTACGTAACTCTGTATAATGATTCATGGTATGGCTCTTGTTTATAAACCTCGATGCTAATTAAAACTATCAAAGAAATAAAATATGATTGTCTTTCCATAGTTGAATATGACGAACCAGAGATGAAATTAGTGTTGATTGATCAACTAAGCAAATAATATTGAATTTCATTTTCTATAGACTTGGTTTCTTCTGATCATTGGATATTGTTTTAGATTAATTTCAATGAATCGAATAGATGATCTATCAATAATATCGTCACCTTGCGCTATTATGATCTTGGAATCGTTACCAGATGAAATTTTCTTTGAAATTTTCGAATATGTATCCATTCAAGACTTGTATCATGGTTTTTATAGTCTCAATCTTCGATTTCGAATGATTCTTGCTTCTCTGACAAACCTCTACGGTGAAACGACATTCGAACGAGAATTGTCTTCGCCACCTTTTCGTTTCTTTGCCTCACGTATACCAAAGCTCAGTATGCATAATGTTGATTTGATGGATTTATCATCATTTTCGGCCGTTCGCTCACTGGCATTATATATTGAACCAAATCGAGCGCAATGCCACTTGATTCGAGTCTTTTCTCATCTCAAATATTTGTACATTTCACAACGACCAATAGGCCATTTTTATTATTCAGTATCATTACCACATTTTGTCTTCACGAATGCATATCCAAACTTGTATACATGTGAACTCAATCTGATTTCTTACCGAATACAACAACATTGGACTTGAGTTCCATCACTGCATACATTGAGTGTTTGTTTAGAGAATCCACGAGTTTTTATTCAAATACTTCAGTGTTGTCCGTCACTCATAAGATTGAAAGTCGAATTAACGCAACATTTTACTAGACCTACCACTCGATTCGATGGTGCTCCTCATATATGCCTTCGCCGATTCTATCTTTACTTAAACCAAACCATGTTTTCATGTTGCGATGTAATCGAAGTCTTACTCTCGTCGGTACCCAACTTGACTGATCTCGTCATTCGAGGAACTGCATCCACGGCATACTCTTTGAATATAAATTTACTTGCTGATATGCTTCATCGATGTGTACCAAAATTGCAACATTTTTATCTCGATATGTTTATCGAAGAATCACTGTCGAGAATGGTAACCGATTCTGCTAAACAACAAATTGGACAGCTTTTTCGACTTTTCACTAACATTAAAATCTATCCATCAACACAGAAAGTGCCAGCACGATTAATTATTCAAGGATGAGAAAGAAACAAGTTTTACTTTTCTATTTATTATTTCTTTTAAAGGTTTATTTTTATTCTAAATGGAATGATCAATAGATATTTTCAAGAAGTGTAACAAAATCTTTGTATCTTAGATCGGTCTTGCCATCAGGAAGTGCCCGTTCAATAATCCCTTCAAAGTTGGACATAGGTACTTGAAAGTCATGCAATGTACTAGTAAGATCCAAATCGGCAATCAGTTTAGCAATGGCTTCAGATACTTTCAGGGCTTGTTCGCGTGGACCGCCAATGTCTTCGTGTGGCGTGATTTTCGTTACAAACGGCAAGAGAGATCCGAGCTGTTTAACTTCGGTATCCGGTAAATACTTGGCTTGAATGGCAACGGTACCAGCAAGAGTTAAACATGAACAGATTCCATGAGGAATTCCAAAACTGAACAAAAAAAATATTGCGTACAATTATTTGTATGTTAATCGCGCTGTCTAGTTTTGAACTCGATATACAGTTACGGACAAATTAGGACTTCAGTTTCGTTATTAGTCAACTTAACAGCAAAAATACATATAGTGATGTGAGGAGAGATTTTCATTTTTCTTGCCATTATCGAACGGAAGGACTCGATGACACATGATACGAGTATGTTTACCATTGGAACTACGGTGAAATATTCTCTCTAAACTTACTGTGATCCCAATTGATATCCAATTGAATGTGACGGTCCCATAGGTGTAATAAGTTCATCCGACCAAAGACCTAGCCAAGCACCGATGAGTGCTCGTTGTCGTGCTTCGACATCCAGAAATGTCATAATATCCTAACACTGGGTAACGACTTTTTCTCCAGCTAAGCATACTTTTTAAAAACTAGGGGTATTACCCCTTGGGTATCGAAGTTGTTACGCTTTAGGTTAATACCCCAAAACAACTCAAATTCCTCAACTTTTAAATACATAGCTATCGAAAAGTGGATACCCGAGGGGTAATACCCCAAAAAGAATTCGATGGGTATTATGACATCTATGCTTGTCTTCTTTCCATTTTCATCTACAAGTAATACGATGGTATTTCCCTATGTTCATCTTTTGTTCAATCATAGATTGCTGTTAGCGATTCGACATTATATGTATGTTAACTACAAACCGTTTTCAGTCCTTTTCCCCTCCCATATAATATAGTAAAGATAAAAACAAATTTCCTTTTCTATCATAAAAATAATAAATATTTCGATGCGATTTTTGCAAATAACCTTTTCTTTTGCTTTTTGGTTGTAGACTTGTTAGCATTTTTTAACTTCTTTTGTAGGTGTCTGCTAATATTTTCTTGAAAAAAAATGAATAATTCGGATTTTCATTTACTCGATGAGTCCTATCGATGGAAATCATGGTTGAACAGAATCGTCTTATAGAAAACTAATTGAAAGAGTATCACGTGAATATTTCTGCTTCTATACCAAACGACAATGACTTACCAGTATAAGCAGAGATAATGGTGTATTCTGCAGCCGAAAGTGTCGTTGGAATGCTGACTAACTTGAGCAATCGGTCTGTTTCTTCCTTGTAAAGATGAATCATCAATTTAGCTGCATGAATATGTGATCCACCATCAATAGCAATGATTCTATCGCTGTCGCTCGTCTTTAGCTCAACCACAGCGTTTCTAATATGTTGGATGGGCGAGTGCTGCTGAATACCAGAGAAAACAACAGCCGATTCGCACCCACTAGCATTTTTAACGCGCTCTATAATATCAGTGTTTGTTGCCAGAGATGTGCCAGTTACGAGGAATGGCTTCGAGACAGACAGTTCACTTAGTATATCAGCTAACTTCGATAGAGAACCAATGCCATACTCTACTCTTTCTAAAACAAGAGTAAGATATTAGGTGTTTAGTTTCGATTCAGTATCTACTGACTTAGGATGGTTGGTACATATGTGCCTAAATTGGCATATTGACTTGTAGTGGGTAAAATAGTTGAAGACATATTTGAAACAATGTAAATTTTGAAGTGATAGAAGAAAAAAAGGTTGGCCAATGTAACTGATAAGAAATGTCATCAATCCTTTTTTGTTTTGTTTATACCAATAACGTAACATTCGAAAGTGTCTACACACACACACTAATGTAATGATAATTGATAAGATTCGAGGTTATGGGTGTGTAATAATTTTTCTCGTGATTTTTTTTCTTCACTAGAAATGATCATCAGGTAAATATTACAGTATTTCCATTTCAGAAAATAAATCAGAAGCTATTGAATATAAATTAAGCTAGATAAGACATGAAAAATCGTGTGATTTCTGTCATTCATTTCAGATAAAATCAAATCGTTCAAAATATTCTACATTTTTTTCGAACTATCGTAAGTTTGTGATTCGTTCTATTAGGAATGCCGAGTAGTTCATCTTCCTACGAGATAAAGGGAAACAAATAGTGATTAAAAGGATTTTAAATTAGCTTCATTTTTAGTTCTGGCTCTTTGAATTTAAATTATAATTAAGATAAGTATCGCCATTCTAAATGGTAAAAGACATGTCGTCATCAATGCAAAGAATAAAATGAACGAAACGAGCATTCCGAGACGAAAGACAAGTTACGAGTAAACGGTGAACACTGTGTGAACATTACAAATGATGAATTTAGTTACATTGGATCATCATATTGTAGATTCCATCAAGCCATTCAGTGAAATAGCTGGCTACAGCATCCACAACTTGGATACATTGGTTATATTGTAGTTCAGTTAGAGGGAAATTTTTTAATGTTTCGTCACCCTCACATCCACATTTCAGTTCATTTAACTCATCACAGTTGCTTGCTTCCTCTTGGTTCACCAAATGGCCTGTTTCTAAAACAAGATGATAATTCCCAAAATAGCGTAGCTCCACACCAGTGGATTTTGTGATTTCACGAACTAATGCAGAAGTAGCAGAAAAGACAATAAGTCCAGTTTCTTCCACAGTCTCAATCATTGCAAAGCGCACTGCTGGATCTTCTCCACATGTATGCACTAAACGTGTGCAATTGTGAAATAGTTTACGATTGTGTCTGTTGGTTGCATCACTCCAAAGAAATGAGAGCATTTTGGTTGAACAACTCGGTGCGCTTTCTGATCTCATCGTAGCAAATGTTTCAGTAATACAAGCATGATGATCTTCCAGTGGTAAACCTGGTATTAAAGCATCATAGGCAGATGTCAGCTTATCACCACCAAGTTTCTCTCAGTCTTCGATAAAAAGTTTGTAATGAGTGCAATCTTCTTTTGCATGTTCATTAATTGCAGTTTGTAGGGCATTTTGTGGTGTCTCATACGGCAGCACGAATTCATTAAAATCACGAAATCCCATGATAAAATAGCTGATGGCTGGTGCATAAGCTTTCAGAGTAGCAAGAGCTACTTTTGATCCTTTGCCGCTCTGAAAAAATGTTTTCCATAATTTGTGTCTTTTGTATTTCGCTAATTGTTGATCTATTCTTTCGAAGACAGATGTCATATTGAAACTTTGACATTCTAAAGCTGGTGTTGGTTCGTTTGAGCAGGGCATATGAGACGTGTTGTTTGTTTCTAGAAGAAAAAATGAATAATGCGAATTTTTCTGTGTGTACAACTCATCACGGAGCAAGATTCACTCGAAAACAGACAAGATAAATAGAAGGTTGATACAAAAATTGTAGAATACAAGATGTACTCGTGTAAACGCACTCCCTATTTTATAGCAGAGAAATACTTACTTGGCAAGAACATTAAAAAAGTGTGCAAATATACTCGTAAATAACTATTATATTCTGTTGTATTGCCGTTTTTTATGCGCCAACATTGTAGCCGTAAATATCCAAGAGCCTACTTCAACATTTATGATTCCCTGTACCGGCACAAATGAATACAACAAAACACATAATCAAAGGTAATAAATAAGCATTGATTTTTCTTTTAAGAGCTATATTTTAACCCATGATATCTGAAATTATACATTTCGGGTCTTATGACTTGTGTTGTAAAGATATTATATGTCTTCTAACGAGAATAATCTTTAAAGAACGGATCAATTTTCTTTCTAAGTACGGCCGATATGAAGGATGTTTCGTTCATAAAACAGTGGAGAACTTCACTCAAGGGGGAAAGGTGACCGATCAATTCGTCGACACTCAATTCGTCGCGCTCAATTTGTCGCGTTCTTTTCGTCGTCGCTCAATTCGTCGCTCACTGAATTCGTCGCATTCATTTCGTCGCGTTGAATGCATC